ACTTTTACTGTAACATTTCTAATGTATCACAAAAAGTCCTTAACCTAACAGTTTTCAAGTTTATACTTACATTTATATGAGCAATCCTCTCCGACACCTTCCGCTTCACTGTCCGCCATTGTTTTTAAAAGTTCTGCCGTCTGGTCCGCAAGGCATCTTGGGAAATGTAAACCATTGAAGGACACACCAGACCCATCTTTCATGCAGGCGAAAAGAAGGCCGGATTCGTCAACCGCATTTGAAGGAGTCTTCGAATTGGGACGGGTCTAGTCGCGGCGCTGTGACGAATCCGGCCGACGAAGGATGCAGACCCTGAATTAAGACACAGTCATTGAGTATTTTATTTTTAAATCTTAATATGTTTTCTGATGAATCTAAGTTTTAGCTCATTGTGTAAATTTCAATGACTACTTGTTGGACTGTGCAGTGAAACCTCCAACAGCATTAAATCTCCCTCTGATTAAGGGAGGATGAATACATGGCTTGGTGTCAGTGTCCACAAAACCAGAAGCTATTTTGCCTCCATACACGCTTCCCTTCTGCGACTCAAAAAACAAAAGTTAAGAAGTATTTCTTATCTGGCACTAATCATGGCATGATAATTGTCCATCACCACCAGATGGGCAAACTAGAATAGCGACCGAATGCACACAACAACTCTTCTCATTTAAATGACATGTCTTGCACGCCTGTGCACTAAAGCTGTCAAAAAAGTGCTCATTACAATGAATTAAGAGGGGTCTGAGCGCAAATGTTGAGCCTACCATTCAATTTTTGGCGGTGAAGGGAATCTGACGCTTGAGGGGTGTGTGTCTGGGATGGTTGGGCGGTCACAGCAATCATCTGGAGATATGTGTGGCCCTGTCCCTTGGACTGAAGGAAGGAAAGTTGAGCAGTGGGATGGAGGACAATAAAAGAAACAAAAAGAGACCAAAGGGCCTGGAGTTAGGAGGCTGTGAAAAGTGTGGAACATCTGTTTTAAGGTGATAAACTTTATTTTAGACTGTCCTGCCTATTGTTTACAGCCCTGTCTCTTTCTGCTGGCAGGTTGAAGTGGAACAATAATAAGGTGATTGCATGATTCGTCAGTGGAAACCGACGTGGAAACGAGTCGGTTTGGGCCTCAGAGACGTGGTGACCCTGCAACATGTCCGATCCCGGATGTCTGAAAAGTTTGGCCGCAGTCGTTCTGAGTTTTCAGCCCTTCATTGAGCTTCCAGTGCCGCATGTAAAAGCTGCAAGCTTCACACATGGAGGAATGGTGGAAAAAGGTGTGTGATTTAGAGGGCGACAGCAGGCTGTTAAGGGATTTAGCTGCTCCGTCTGCCTTATCTCCGGGTTACTGACTGAGCTCCAGACGTTCAGAGCTGCATTCGCCGCTCACTATTTGCAGCTTTAATTCAGAAAAAAATCAGAAATTTTAAAAGCTTTTCCTTTTTTTGGTTCATCAAAAGTTCAGCTCTTCAGGTTTGTCGAGATTAGAGTATGTTGATTTGTGTTTTGACATGCTGAAGTTTAATGTCCAGCAAAGGCCTCGAGAGTCTGATTGATTAGTTAGATAAAGCAAGTCTGGGACGACATCGGCTTCACCCAAAACAAAACAAATCAATCTGTAGTATACACACATATGAAAAATATCATTTTATGAGACATTTTTACTTTTATTAGACACGGAGCTCAGCCCTCCAGCAGAAATCAATCTGGAAGCTTTTTGAATTTGGGGGAATTTTTAATGACCTAATAAGCAATTTGCAAGCACTGTTGATTACATCTCTACCATTTGATTGGTTTTCATTCATATTTAAGATCATCTTCTCGTTGGATCATAAAAGCTGCTTCAAGAAGTCTATGTCATAAAAATCTGCATTTTTGGTTTGTGTAATTGTTGCACAAACTAATTTAGACATTTGAAAGACTAGAGCTGGGTGTGCCACAGGGGTCTAGTTTAGGCCCACTTTTGTTTTCTATTTTTACTAACGACCTTTCTTCGGTCGTTATTATTTGCTCTAAAAATTTATATGGAGATCATTTGGTTCTTTATGCTTTGCATTGGTACCTTTTTCACTTACAAACTCAGCTACAGTTAACTTTGACTTGATTCTTCATGATAATACTAACTCATTCACCACCAGCCGTTATCTGATCAGAAAGCCCCTGGCTGCCAACGTTTTTGAGCATCTTTACTGTTTTTTTTGAAGAGTTGGAATATACTCTATGACAGTTTAGACACCAAACACACTTCTTACATCAGGAAGAATCTGTGTAATTCCAGCTTTTTTCGTTCTTTCCCAATCCGTTGTCGAAGTGTGAGCTGCAGAAGCTTTTCCGATTTGCGCCTCGCTTTAGGCATAGTGGCGTTCCAAACCGATCGCCTAATTCATGGATTGTCTGCTTCATGATCATGTGACGTGTGACACACATGGGTGAAAATCAACTTTAGTAGCATGATGTTTAATCTCAAGGTGCACAAGCTCGTTTCCAAGCTCGACCTGTTAAAAAATTGATGACTTTAGTGAGCGGTTGGATTTAGAATGATGCCTTTAGTAATCAATGGAAGCGAAAGAGTTAAAAAAAACCCCGCTCTATGTTTTTGAGTACTCACTACAAACTTTCTTACTCTCCATTTTCTTATTCTTGTGTACAGTTTGTTGCTGATACCTTTAATCTTGTTGTTGGCTTGATCCAGAAGTGAACTTTAAATCTGACTGTATTGTTAAAAGAACATATTCCACTCTGAATCATCACCGTCTGCTTACTGCTTTAATCTTAAAGTTAGGAGCAGAATAATGACTCAACTTATTTGACCTGTTATTGATTATGCTGATATTAAAATACTTTTGAACGAAATTTAAAACCTTTAAATGTTTCATTCACTCTGTCAATTGACACTTAAATGTCCTTTTTGAACACATCTTTATATAGCACTGTATCTGATAACCTAAATTGGTTACTGCCTTCTAAAAGGCAGCAATATCATTGGAATGTACTTTTGTTTAAATGCATATACTTTGATTTTCCTTCTATTTAAAACAATCACTAATTCCGACATTCAAATTTAATTTGAATTGTGTCTTATTAAATTCTGGGTCAATTTAAAGACCAAATATGGACATAACTTTTTGTTAAACTTTCACAGCCCTGATTTTAATTAAATCTATTGAAATTCTTTCAAAAACTAATTTATGGACGTAGACTTGACTTGCAGGCAGCATAATACATCATTATGTGTTTCCGTTGGTGGGAGCTATTTTTGACCATGAATTGAAAAGCTCACATCCTTGATAGGAGATATCTATTCCCTTCCACAACTCTGCCTACCTCTGAGGTTATCATCAGTTCATCGAGGAAACATGGAAGTGGGAGACAATACCTTCCTGGACTTCACCGTGTCTCCCGGGGAGGATCGCATCGTTGCAGTGACACACCGGCACCTTGAACTCTTGTAATTTGAAAAGGAAGAGACGCCTGCGTGCGCTATGAGATTGTCAGCTGCTGCTGTGATCAAAACAAACACGAGGAAGCCTCTGAGAGTTGTTTTTAATCTGGGTTATAATATGTGTCACTATTTTTAACCATCAAACTCCTCTGGACAAGTCTGAGGTCAAGGTCTAGGTGACTTTGTTAATAAAGATTAGATACATTTATCTGGAATATATTGGATCAATATCTTTAATAATGTAAATGACACAAAGACACTAAATGAGTTGAACACTTGTTTGCAAGGGCTTCTCGTAGAACCTTGTAAGTCGTACAGGGGGAAAAAAGCTCTGGTGCTCCTTTTTGTGGACATAGAAATCAGTTGCAGGAGAAAGTAGCTTCAGACGTCAGGATTTGGAGTCTTGTTTCCTAAAATTTGGACATCTCATCTCTGATTGGCTAACAGCAACGCTGCTCTACCTGACTCTGTTCACTTTGCAATGGCGATGTTTCATCTCCACAAATAATACAAGCCTGAAGGAGTTCTACTGTGTGGTGGAGCTGCTAATGCTAACAGTTAGCTTCTACCAGCCGAGACATTCCTTTAAGAAGGAGGTGAAGCTGTCACACTGCTGTTTCCTGGACGCTAAACCAACAACAGACTTCCCCGTCGCGAGTCAAGATGGGTGAATCCATGAATTTCAAGTGACAGTGTGACGTAGATCCGTCAGGATTTTAAAATCCTAGAGTTTCAATGTTTATATCTGAAGCTGATGCAGGAAATAGGTCTAGGAGATTATTTTCATGTTCAGTCCGCATGAAAAACTCAGAGTGATCGATTATAATCAGAAATAAGATTGAAGAAATGGGTGTTCACTGTTCAATGCCTTTGAAACAATGACAAGAAAAAAATGCAAGTTTTAAAAGAAAATAACAAATTTAGCAGTAAATGCAGAGTCACTGCTTGGATCAGCCGTTACATATTTTGCAATTTGGTCATGCAATAATCTTCAAACCAAAAAGAAGATTAATGTGTTTTTCATTTTTGGGAGAAACCAAAGCTCCTCGTCTTGTGCAACTAAGAAATGTAACTTTTAGTCCTAAACTGGACTTTTACTTGTGATACATTGATTTGAACTTGCTTCACGTTGTTTTTTTCGAGTTGTTTACCTGCACCTGCACACCTGGTTCAACGGTGGAATCACCTTTTCACTTGTATCAGGTGTGTCAAAGCAGAAACCATGCAGGAATGTGGCAGAATTAGACTGCAGCTCAACAAATGACTTTTATTTGTGAATTTTAAAGTCAACACAAGGAAAAGTGGCTGCTGATGGAAAGACAAGTACACATTCTTCTGATTATACGCATTTATGAAGATTTCACAGTGAGCATCGTTTTATTTTTGACACACACCAGGGTTGATTTCATTGCAGAAACCTAAAAGTCAGATTTGAGACTTTTGATCAGCATAAAACGAGTCGTCGTGGCTCAGAATGGTCTGTGGCGCGCGCGGCCGTTGGGTGTCGCTGTGCGCGCGGCGAGTCTCATCCTCATCCCGGTCCTCGTGTTCGGTCCGACCGGTCCAACGCTCAAGCTCAGGCTGAAGTGTCAGATTTGTCTTGTTAACACGTGAGATACTCTTGAGTGTGTGGGGCAGAGGAGGGGGAGCTGCGAAAATTACGCGGAAGAGAACTTTACTGTGCGCGAGCTGCTGGACTCGGAGGGATCCGCGCGCTGATCTGAGGAGGGATGCCGAAAAGGAGAGAGGACGCACGGCGAGCGCACCAGACATGAGTCCGAGGTAGGAGACGGAGCAGGGTCCTAGGATGGCACTGGGGCAGACCCTGGGTCACCTGTGTAGATCTGACTCAGCTGATGTGTGTTTTTTTTACAGTTAAATGGATGCTCCCTCTTACTTTAGCTTATTATTTAGTCATTTTCAAAGTGAAGCAACTTTTGAGTCACCTTTATAACGTGTCAGTTATAGAAAATACATAATTAAAAGTTTTAAAACGATAAAAAACATTGATTAAGAAATCTTTAATCATAATATAAGTGATAATATAAGCTAAGTGCCCACTTGTTGTGACTCAACCAAGAATTCTACTATATAAATTTTTTTTCAGTGGCCTTTAAATGGGTCTGTTCAGAAAATAAAGTAAAAAAAAAAACAACACCAGGTGACTGCAGGAGAGAAAGTGCTCAATGATTTTAATAAACCCTCTTTAATTTTGATTATTTTTCATTCAGGCTCATTTTGAGACAATTCGTCAGGTTAAAAACGAAATACCGGTTAAAACAACCTCACAAACACCGGCTGTGGTTATTTTTTTAGCTTGTAAGACAAAATCTGAGGCGTTTTAACAGATTTTCTCACCTATAATTACTTTTTTTTTACACAACACTCACAAAACAGCCGCCTGTCTCTTTAAGACGATGTGTTGAGAAGTTCACGTCGGGGTCACGCGAAGTTCCTGCCCTCGATTTTACCTTTTAGTTTTATTATAGACTGACATCACACGGGGCGCTAAAACACTTAAGGCGCGTAGAAACTCCATCATCATCCGCGTTATTGCGCGCGCTCAAAAATGGCGAAGAAAATTACGAGAAAGGAGAAGAAAAAAGAGGAGGAAAACGATGCTGGTTTAAGTACGTATGTGTGTTTCTTCCTTCAGGGGATGAAAAAAGGAGGGAGAGGAGGGGCGGTGAGAGACAGAGGGGAGGAAAGTGGGTGGGAGGACGGACCCAAGGAGCGAGAAGAAATTCATATCAATTAATAATCAGGAGGGGAGAGAAAAAAAGAACTGGCAGACGCGCTCGGAAAACTGGCATGGGTTTTTGGAGGCTGGCAGTTTAACGTCAGATATGAGTGTGAGATACTGCTGAGATGATCATTAAGGGAGACTTAGATCGGATGGCAGAAGACTTCGGGCATGCAGGTAAGCGCAGAGCCGCTGAAGGGTATTCTAACATCTGCACAGAGAAGGAAGCTTTACGTCTTATTTTGACTTAATTCGCACCCTGCGCCGTTTGCACTCGTGCGTAATTTTGCATTGTGTCAAAAAAGCGCTCATCGCTTTCCTTATTATGCCTTTTAATCTGAGTCTGATTCACAGATTTTTTACTTTTCTGTAAAGAAAAACGAGATAATTTCTTCAGGATTTAACTGCGTCAAAAAAGCAAATATTATTTAGAGAACACGAATGTTTTTATATGAATTTGTCATAAATGAGTGATCGGAGTAAAGATTACATCCTTTTAGTTTAACTTTTCAAATTAAAAAAAGAAACGTTCATGTACACAAAGTTTTATCATTATTTTAATTCTAGGTTATATTGTAATTATTCCTTGTTGTGGTTGGATTTTAGTATAAAGCTGCACGTTTTTAACGCTTTTTACGCATAAATAAAAATGTTGCTGATGAGAAATCACCCATGTGGGCATACCAGACAGATTAACAGTTTTTTTGTGTGTTTAACCTTTTGTCTGATATGAGAACAGGATGGATTCACTCGTGATTTGGTTTATTCCTGCAGTTTGTGAAGCGCAGATTAGAGGCTGAGAGAGAACGGGTCCTCGGCGACACAGTCAGCAGCACTTCCCTGTTTGCTTAAATCGCCTCCTGAAACTCTCGGAAATAATTTAAAAACTTTATTTACTAAAAATAAAGTCCACTTTGTGTTTAAAATTAAACGTTTTAATGAAAGGGCTGAATCCAAAATCAAAAAGTGTCCATTTGGTCTAAAATCTGCCAACTGTTTTAAAACTATTTGATAATTTCACACGAAAATAAGTTTTAACTGTTTAAAACACAGTAAAGTGACTAACTGGCATAAAAACAATACAAATTAAACACTATCTGGGAAAATAAGGCATCTTTAATGATTGTGACTTAAGGATGAAAAAAAAGCCCAAAATGTTTCAAATAAGTGTCAAAAATAAGAGTTAATTAGAAAAACTCAGCAGAATAAAACTGCAGTGTTGGATTTAAAAACATCCCCACACCATGCTGAATGTTTTATGCTCCAATGAGGGAAATTTGATTGTCAACACAACGTTTTGAGCAGATGTCAGAAGTGTTTATGTGACTGGGGGTGAATGCAGAGGTCGGAAGTTGAGTCCAAAACCACAAAATGACAAAACAGACAAAAGTCAGCGATAATGCATATTAATCGAATGCAAATGACTGAATCGATGCTTCCACATCATCAGCATGACAGGTCATTAAAACTGAAAACAACCAGGCATCCCAGAGGGCATCCACATGGCTTTTCTTAGGCTTTTGTACCACATGTGCAAGAATTACAAGTTTTTTTTATAAAATATATAAAATGTAGAAAGAGTGGTGCAGATCTGTGCTTTTGAGATCACACATCCTCCAGATCTGCTGTGATGCTTCTCTGATTAAACTGATGAAAAACCCCAAACAGCAAAAAGATAATGTAACCACAGCCACTAAAGTTTTTTTTAGTAGCACTAAACAACCCCCTAAAAATATTTCATATGTGCAATGCTTCTTTATTCCTTCATAATAAAAGCTTAATTTAAATACATGGAAAGTCACAAATATAAACTGAGATGCGTGGATGGTTTATTTCTCATCTTGTTATGCAACAGAATCGAGAATATAAAGTGATGTTATCTGCGAGGATGTAGTGTGTCACCCACTGTGCACTGCTCAGCAGCCGCTGACAGTAAGCTGAGAACAGAGGAGACAAAAGTTCACCAAGTATGGAAAAATGCATCACATCTGTTTCTAAAGGGCTGACGGGTGATACATATAGTCCCGCAAGTCAAAGCCCAAAACAGGTGGAAACCCTGACTGACACATTCTTTCTAATATTCTATCACAAAAATATTATGACATATCTAAAAGATGTGTTCAGATTTAAATACAAATGAACCAATGATGCTACTTTGACGTGTTTTAAGATGAATTTGCCCTCATCCAAATTCTGTTTTTCATTGATAACCTTGTATTCTGAGCCAGAAACGTGACCAAAATCGCCCTGACAGGTGAGTTTTAAAATGTATGCAACAATGTGGGAAAAGAAAACGATTGGGAGATTTTTTCACGCTGTTAGTGTTTCTTATGAGTTTAAAAGAAACGCATACTTCCTTATTCTAATGCTTACGCTGAGTGAAATAAACAAGAAGTGAGGGAGCTGGTGTCAGGAAGGCTATGATCAGACAGATGACATGATATTTATTTAGTTGCTTGTTTCCCATCAGTGATACTTGGTCCTCGGGGACCGTTTCAGACGTTTAATCTCACGGGTAAACTATCCTGAAACGCCACGGCTCGAACAATACAAAGGGTTTGATGCATTCAGCCAACGTGGTTTATTTTGGGCTTGATGGAACAATTAGTGTGTGTGTGTGTGTGTGTGTGTGCGCCTGTGCTGTCCGATGTTGATTTACCTCTTGTGTGCTCCGTGTTCCTTATATGACTGAGCAGCTGAAGCTTCTTTCTTTGGTTATGCCCCCCCCCCCCCCCCCCCCCCCCCCCCCCGGTTTATACCTGCTGTTCATCACGCTCGTGAAACATTCACCCCGCCCTCACGTTGTTTAAAATTCACTGATTTGTTTCTGGAACGCTTTAGCGAGGATCTTACAATATATGTATCTGTGGTTTGGAATGGTACATGTGTCATTGCGCTCCCTTTTTTTTTGTTTGCTGCAGATGAAGTTGAAGTAATCGGAAGGTTGCTGGTTCGAGTCTCGCTCAGTCTGTCACTGTCGTTGTGTCCTTGGGCAAGACACTTAACCCACGTTGCCTGCTGGTGGTGGTCAGAGGGACCGGTGGCGTCAGTGCTCGGCAGCCTCGCCTCTGTCAGTGCGCCCCAGGGCAGCTGTGGCTACATTGTAGCTCATCCCCACCAGTGTGTGAATGTGTGTGTGAATGGGTGAATGACTGATTGTGTTGTAAAGTGCCTTGGGGGGTTCTAGGACTCTAGAAGGCGCTATATCAAATACAGGCCATTTACCATTTACCATTGAGGCAAAGAGGTGTCTTTGTGATGAAGACATGGCTACAAATGGTCACATTTTATAAAAAAAAAAAGAAAAAAAAAGGGCCCACAACACCAGTTTTTAGTGAACAAAAACAGTCTTTATTTCATTTGGGCTGCATGGTGGTGCAGTGGCTAGCACTGTTGCCTCGCAGCACGAAGGTTGCAGGTTCGAAACTCGGCTCGGCTGCGGCCTTTCTGCGTGGAGTTGCGTGTTCTCCCCATGCATGCGTGGGTTTCCTCCGGGTACTCCGGTTTCCCCCACAGATCACAGCATGCCCTATAGGTTATAAATTGTAAGTCGCTTTGGATAAAAGCGTCTGCTAAATAAATAAACATAAACATAAACATTTGGAAAATCCCTTTCTGATTGGCTGATTCTCATAAATTGAACATACAGTCAAATAAAACAGTTTTGTTACTCGGATATTTTAATTTGATTGAATTCACAAAGAGCATCAGTGGTTCTCCTCCGCTGCCGAGAATAAAAAAAATTGCAGATTGAATTTGTCTCATCCTCAACGTCCCCGTTTGCATGACATTTCACAGATGTTTGTCGTTGCAGGTGGTGTACTGAAGACAATGCTGGACGCCATGGAAGTTCCAAGTCATGCTAGGGATCTCCTCTTGCAGCTCAACAGCCAGCGCACCAAAGGCTTCCTGTGTGACGTCATCATTGTGGTGCAGAACGCCCTCTTCAGAGCTCACAAGAACATTCTGGCGGCCAGCAGCCACTACTTGAAGTCCTTGGTGGTACATGACAATCTCATTAACCTCGACCACGAGATGGTGAGTCCAGGTGTCTTCCGGGTCATTCTGGACTACATCTACACGGGACGCCTTAGTGAGGGAGACCCCAACTCCCCCAATGAACCCAGTCTGGGTGCTGTCTTGGCAGCAGCCAGCTACCTGCAGCTGCTCGATTTGGTGGCCTTATGCAAAAAGAAGCTTAGAAGAAATGGGAAGTACCCTCCTCGTCCAGGTCCTGCGTTTCTGCCCTACGCCAAGATGGGGCCAAGCAGCATGGGCCTGGTGAGTGGAGGCAGGTATAGGGTTTCTACTCCTGTAATCCAGTCCTGTCCTCCTGGAGGAATGTTGAACGCACCCAGGACATCACCCCTAGAAGACCTGGTTTCTCATCGACTTGCCATTCACACTGGGGAGTTGTATGCTCCTACTTCCAACCAGAGCTCCCAGATGTTCCCAGCTCTGCCTGCCCAGCTGGGACGCTCGGCCCACCCTGAGAGGAATTGCTCGCCCAGCTTTGGCCTTGATCTTTCTAAGAAAAGCCCCACGTCCCAGTCTCAGCTCACACCCTCTCAAAGCCATCTGGCTAACAGTCACAACAGCGAGGAGCGAGACGGGTCTCTGAGTGGACGCGCTAGTCCCATTCAGGGTACAAACGGGAGAGCCTTTCCGTCTGAAAAAATGGAATCTACCGACCAGGGAGGTCCCCTCACTCCTCCACCTTTCTCGCATCTGAACCAGCCTTTAGCCCCGCACCTGCCCCACTTGCATCGGTCAGGCTCCCAGGGGACAGACCGCTACCCTTGCCCTGCCAGCCCCGACACCCCTACAGACGTGGGGCAGGTAGGCAGAGAAATAGGCAACATTTACCGCTGGGTGAAACACGAACCGCTTCAGTACACGGCCGAAGATGAGGACGAGGAGGAAGAGGAAGAGGAGGCAGGTGAAAACGGAGAGCAGCATCATAGTCATCACAAGCCGGGGGAAGAGAGTGAAGGAGTTGACGACAAGAGCGGGTCAGGCACAGAGGAGACGGGCAGCAGCGAGGGCCGCCCGTCCCCAACGGGACCGATGGGGAGGTTCCACATGCCGTATGAGCCAGAGAGCTTCGGGGACAATCTGTATGTGTGCATTCCCTGTGATAAAGGCTTTCCCAGCTCAGAACAGCTCAATGCACACGTGGAGACTCACACGGAAGAGGAGCTCTACAGAAACTCTGGTGGGGAGATGGGAGGCAGCAACAACAGCAGCACCAAAAACATGAGCAGCAACGCAAACGGTTACGGGAGCCTCAACAGCAGTGGCGCTCTGAACAGCCTGTCACCTCTAGAGATGAAGTCGGACCAGGGTCTGAACGCAGGAGGCATCGGGGAGATGATTCGACCGTACCGCTGCTCCAACTGTGAAAAGTCCTACAAAGATCCCGCTACTCTGCGCCAACACGAGAAGACCCACTGGCTAACGCGGCCGTACCCCTGCAGCATTTGTGGCAAGAAGTTCACGCAGCGCGGCACCATGACGCGCCACATGCGCAGTCACCTCGGTCTCAAGCCGTTCGCCTGCGACTCCTGCGGCATGCGCTTCACCCGCCAGTACCGCCTCACGGAGCACATGCGCATCCACTCTGGGGAAAAGCCTTATGAATGCCAGGTGTGTGGCGGAAAGTTTGCCCAGCAGCGCAACCTGATCAGCCACATGAAGATGCACAGCGGCGGAGGGACTGCAGGAAGCCTGAACGTGGATGGGAAGCTGAAGCTGGACTTTACAGAGGGCATCTATCCTCTGAGCAAGTATGCTGCTGAGCACCTGGGGCTGAAGCAGGAGAAGGCCAATGAGCTGCTGATCCAAGCTCAGCAGCAGCTGGTGGCCGACGCCAAGGTCATAGAGAGCCTCTACCCGCTCTCCAAGCTGGCCTCAGAGCACCTGGGCCTCACCCATGACAAGATGGACATACTGGGCCAACCACTGCCCCCTCCCCCTCCTCCACAGGCTCTCTCTGAGGCCCGAACCATCGACCGCTACTCGCCCAGCTAAGCTGTAAGACGTGTGTAGATGGCGATTACCATTAGGTCTGCGTGCACACACACTTTGCAGTATTCTAAAGCCATTCACCTCAACTTTCTCTCCTCCGCACCTCAAGACTCGGACCACGTAAGTGCCTTTCCATGCATCTAATGTATCTCTGCACCCTCCTTCACGAAGGAGCTCTGAGCTTTTACGTGACCAAAGGACGCTTGTTGAAAGACCTGCAGTATTTATGTACAGTCTATCCAAAGAAACTGTTCTTTGATTCCAGCTGTTGAGCCATAGTGACACAACTTTTTAAAGCCAAACATGTTTTTATTTATTTTTGTATGATAAGATCCAAAGAAAAGTGTGTTTCAATGGAACGTTTTGCAATCTGACCCTAAACCTGTGTACTATTCATCTTTGTATGACGAGAGAAAGCACATACAAACAGACCTGAGCAGGACTTTTTACCATGTGGAAATCCAACTCACCTGAACTTTAAGGCAATATTTTCTTTTTTTTTTCATTTAATTGCTTTTCTTGGGGTACTTGATAATTTATCTTTATTTTTTTATTATTTTTATTATTATTTTGAATTCCTGCTTGCCCTTCTTCCTCATGTGACACAGTCCCAACTCATTTCACAAAGTGCTATCTGCTTTTGTCTTTGTAAGACCCCAGTCTCTGTTTTTGTGCAGAAAAATGCTCATATTACAGTTTTATATATTTTATAGGAGCTAAAGCTTCGCGTTTGTGATGTAAGGAGCGCCCTGTAACTTTCAGCCGATGCTGATGCGTAGCGGAGCCTCTTAATCTGATGAGTGGGCCTCGATTGTTCATCTGATGATGGTTGTCCATGAGGCGTGCAGCTCATGGTTTTGCAGAAGCATGGGCGTTTCTGATTTTGTGTATGTTTTTTTGGACACAGCTCAGTCGAGAGGCAGAGACCAGGATAAGGTCTGTGACAAAAGAAAATGTCATGTCGTTAACTAACGCTTCCAAAAATAGCAGCGTGATGATAAATCATGGCGTGATAGTTTCAGCCGTTCGCCTTCGAAGCTCTCTCCACAGTGAGCTGCTAATCTGTCAGCGTTACGAACATAATAAGGAGTTTGTGGCTCTTCCCCTAGAAGCCGACGGGTGAGCAGCATTCCCCAGCTGCTGTGCTTCACTAATCCCTGTGAAATCTCACTTTCTCCTGAGCAATTCGCACTGCTCGCCGGCGTGATGTCCCATTTTTCATGCCTGCCATCTCTCTGGTCTGGCGGATGTCCTCCCCTGGCCTCGCCTCTCCACCCAGCTAGTGTCTGATTTTGAAAATGATATTTCTGTGTTGACTGAGCAGCAGATCTCGAAAACAAAAGAGCACTTAAAGCTTGCAGGTTCATTATTTTGTCTCCAAATCTTTATTACAAAGATCACGTTGGCCGCTTTTCCCCTTCTTTTCCATATTTCTTGATGGTAGAAGTTTGACCACTATAGTGCCAATGCCAACCTCAGTAGGTGAATGTGAAGACTAAAAGCCATAAATACACTGTGATAGATGGAGTGAAAAGGCTTAAAAAAGGAAGAAAAATGTGCCTGACTTTAGGATATTTTTGTAATTTAAGGGCTTTTATCTGTAGCACATGATCATATCTAACATGTTGCATCCTGTGACTTTATTTAGAGTTTTTTTCATAATTTTTATTTTATTGGAACTGAAAGCAGCGCTCGTAAAACTGGTGCTTACCTCAGGACTGAACCCAGCGATGGGGATGCTAACCTTTTGTAAACTTTTGCTCAAAAACACACACATGCACACAATCACACACACTTTTCTTTTTAATTCCTTGCCCACAGGATGATTGTCCTGTATTAAACCTGTGTTTTTTTTGTTTAAACGTCACCTTTTAAAGTTTTTACAGGAAAGATGACATATATAGACATTTTTTTTCTTTTCGTTGTAAATAAACTGTTTATTATTTTAATAATGAGGTCCTCAAAGAGGCCTTTTGTCAGTTTGACCATTGTTACACCGTGCTTTGTTATGGGAGTAGCTTTCATTTTTGTAATTTCTGACAATCTTACTAAATGTGTTTGATTTTAATCACATGCAAAGCAATATCTAGGTGCATTTTGAAAAATTTTCCCTCCCAAAAAGGTCTAATGAATCATCAGCACTTCCTTTAAAGAGCAGGTTCACTGAGAGACAGTTTTCTACTTATTTATGAAATATGACGGTCACTCTGAGTTCATCGTACGTCTGTTGCTGTTTCTGGCATTATCCCCTAAAATAAAACAGACGTTGAAACGCTCTGGTCCAAAAAAGCCACACAGATTCTGTAGATTATCATTCATGGACTCACCAACGGGGAAAGCAGTTGTTGCTTTAGCATCCAGGAGAGAGAAGAGAACGTCTCGGCTAGCAGAAGCTAACCGTTAGCATTAACAACTCTATAGCTCAGCAGAACTCCCCCAGGCTTGTGTTATTTGTAGAGATAAAACATCAATGTCACAAAGAGTGGCGTTGCTGCTAGCCAATCAGAGGTGGGATGTTCATAAACCATACAAGTGGATGAGAAAGACTCCAAATCCTGCCGCTTCCTGCCCCCCACACTTCTGGCTAGCTTCTACTTCCTGGAACAGGAGTGCCAGAGCTTATTTTCTGCTGAAAACAACTCTTAAGGCATTCCTTTATAACAGACACCAGATTTACTGAAACAGACAAGCAGTAGCTTCCAAGCTAGCCTCGAATCGGTTGGCCCCTTTTCTCCACAAGATGGTGAACCTTTGACACGAGCCAGACTGAGGTCGGGCTTGCACAGAAGCACACAGGAAGTAGATTTGTTTTGCCTCAAGTTCGGGGGGCTATGTTGTTTAGCATTGTGACAAAAAAAAAATTAAATGCACTGCTTAAATGAAACACTGGTCATTCAAACGCGATGCATAAACAAGAGCATGTGCCATCAAATGTAGGACAGAGCGGATGCAAGTCGTGGGAATTTCAGTTCGAATCAAAATGTGACCATTAACTTTTTTTTTTTTGCAAGCACCACAAAAAAAAGTTTCCACAGCCACTTGAAATCTGTGCAAGGGGGAACAAGGAAGATAATGTTTAGCTGTTTTTTGCAGGATCTGCACAGTTTGAAGTGTGGTGTTGCATTGTTGTGCACAACAGCTAGGCAGGGCAGAGAGAATCTATAGGGAAGGGGAAGTATTTGCTTGTCTGTTTGTGTGTCATCGTGCTATTTGGGTGTACGAGGGGCTGATAATGCATGTCCTGGGAATTAGGTTGGTGTGAAGGAGAGGAGCTGAAGAGCAGGAAGTGAACTTTTGGCTGGCGTGTTGAGCTGAGCAGGATGTGCCGTTTGTGTCCGTGTGCGTGTGTGTGTGTGTGTGTGTGTGTGTGTGTGTGTGTGTGTGTGTGTGTGTGTGTGCTCAGGAGCAGATAGAGTCGGAGAACGGGGCGAGAGAGTGCAGCAGGGTGGACATGATCCATTGTCTCAGCTTGAAAACTTGTTCATACCTCTAAAACCCACTTTTTTAGAAAACAAGCATCTTCTCTGGTCCTTGTTGGGAATACACCTCGGCTGTGTTTCATAGTGATGATCAACTTTTAATAAAAAAATTCAAATTGCATCCATTTGGTGCATTTTTCTCTAAAATAAAGCCATCCTTTTATTCTGACAGCTTAATGTAAATGATAAATAACTAACCAGCAGCAGTTCCCTTCTCTATGGTTTAGTCAAATTTGATGAGTTGTGTTATAATTAGCTGATATAGCCCCATGTTTTTTTTTGCCATAGACAATTGTTGATACATCCCACACCAACCCAGAAAACCTCCCAGTGCCGTCAAAGTGGCTCAGATTGCGCTGAAGCCTCTCAAAGATTATTTTTCATCACATTGATTGATTTGTATGATAATATCAGCGTTAAACAACGGGTTTAATCTAAAAAAGTATGACTCAGAGCTCAGGAGAAGGTCACTGTGAATCTGACTACTGGCTGAGTAGTCTTGTGATCATTCCACTGTTCGACTTTCATCGTGTTTTACAGCAAGTGCCAAAAAAAAGTCTGAAGCAGACTCGAGGAGTGAAATTTAAAAAGCTGTTTTTGGAGTTTTCTCAACGAAAACCGATGATCTAAAACTTTTTCTTGTTAGAAAAGTCATTTTTGGAACTAATCAATGTCCACATTAATCATTAGTTTTACATATAAATCATATTTTAATGGACGTTGCAGCAAAAAAAGGACCAGTAATTATGTCATATTGTGAATCCTTTTGAAATTTTGACTTTACTTGTAATATTTTATGCAATAATTAGCCAGATTTAAAAAAAATGCACCTGTCCATTTACACGTCATGTCTGCTCAGTTCAACAGTGTAGAGCACAAGACGGATATTTTACACATTCAAGAGGCTTTATCACAAGCAGCTGCTTTAGATTTATTTTCCCCCAAACTGCACTTTAACGGGAAAAAAAGTCATTGAATTGTGATTTTTTAAAAAAATATTGTATTTTATTGCTCTCATAATCCCCATGAAGTCCCACAACTGCCCTCCTTTTGACACTCTGCTTCCATCTCCTTCCTCCTCTTCCTCCCTCTGGTGCACAGCTTGGCAATGCTGCCCTTTTACCCCCAAAGCCCTGCTCCTCTCCCCCATGCTCTCTCTCTCTCTCTCTCTCTCTCTCTCTCTCTCTCTCTCTCTCTCTCTCTCTCTCTGTGTCCCTACACTTCACAATCCACTGACCCACAGCGCACGCCGCCTCCCTCCCCTCCCACGATCCACTTACTTCCAGCTGTTTTTCATGCCGAAGACAACAGTTGTCTAAATGTTTACGCGAACAGCTACTTTCTCTTTCCATAAGGCCTGATCGATTTACAAAATGAACTTCGTGGCATGTTTTAGGAAGCTACAGTTGATGGGCCAAAAAGAAGAGAATAAAATAAAATGGCTTTTGCTTACAGATTTTAAGCCAAGCAACTATGTGCAAAGAGAAGATTAAAGCGTGTTGTTGAGGAAATGCAGAATAATGTGAGGAGGGAAAATGCTCAGAGAGATGCCAGTAAAGTAAACATGTCCGAAGTTGCACAACTGGCTGCACCAGCCAAGTCATGCGCTGAGATGGAGAGAACAACGAAAGGAGAAGGGTTGTGAGGAAAAGAAGCAAAACAGAAAGGAATGATTGTTTTTGTTTGAGAGTTACAGTCCTTTAAGGACAGGATTTTTAGGCACAGCCAAGGTGTGGAGGGCATCCGTTGTGGTGGCCTGAGGATCAGGTCTCTGCTTTTTGCAGATGATGTGGTCCTGTCGGCTTCATCAGAACGTGATCTACAGCTTTCGCTGGAGCGGTTCGCAGCCAAGTGTGAAGCTGCTGGCATGAGAATCAGCTCCTCTAAATCTGAGACCATGGTCTTGATTCAGAAAAGGGTAGAATGCCTTCTCCGGGTCAGGGATGAGGTCCTGCCCCGAGTGGAGGAGTTTAAGTATCTCGGGGTCTTGGTCACGAGTGAGGGAAATCTGGAGCATGAGATCGATAGGCGGATTGGTGCTGCATCTGCAGTGATGTGGGCGTTGTACCGGTCTGTCGTGGTGAAGAGAGAGCTGAGTCAGAAGGTGAAGCTCTCGATTTACCGGTCGATCTACGTTCCTACCCTCACCTATGGTCATGAGCTTTGGGTAGTGACCGAAAGAACGAGATCACGGATACAAGCAGCCAAAATGAGTTTTCTTCGAACAGTGGCTGGGCTCTCCCTTAGAGATAGGGTGAGGAGCTCGGTCATTCGGGAGAGGCTCGGAGTAGACCCGCCGCTCCTCCACATCGAGAGGCGCCAGTTGAGGTGGCTTGGGCATCTGGTCAGGATGCCTTCTGGACGCCTCCCTGGTGAGGTTTTCCGGGCACGTCCAACCGGGAGAAGACCTAAAGGTAGACCCAGGACACGGTGGAGGGACTATGTCTCTCACCTGGCCAGGGAACACCTTGGTATTCCCCGGGAGGAGCTGGCCCAAGTGGCTGGGGAGAGGGAAGTCTGGGCCTCTCGCCTTAGGCAACTGCCCCCGCGACCCGACCCCAGATAAGCGGATGAAAATGGATGGATGGATGGACGGAGTTACAGTCTTATTTCTTATAAAAAGGAGATTCAACAGTGTTTTCTGTTTTTCCACATCTTCTACCAGCCTATTTATTTTAGACTGAAGTCAGGAATCAAGGGAAGACTTGTTTTTAAATACTTCATCAGTATTTTTTGATGATACTAATATCAGTAGGCTGAACAGTTATCACGCAGTCGGCTCACAGCTTGCAGCTTGGACCAGTTTTTTTCTTTACAATAAACACGTAGAAAATGATGGAGTGGATTTAGCCTTGAGTCATTTTTTTATTTAATGTGTTAAGGTTCTGCTCCAGGGGTTTAAATTTAAAGACAAACAACAAGCAGGAAGTTGGAAAATTTTCTCTCTCTCTCTCTCTCTCTCTCTCTCTCTCTCTCTCTCTCTCTCTCTCTCTCTCTCTCTCTCTCTCTCTCTCTCTCTCTCTCTCACACACACACACAACACAGCTGGATGGCAGACTGCTTCTCCGGATTAGGTCAGATTTAATTAGGTTGTCCTGCTCTGTTTGGAGTGTCACTTCTTGTTGAAAAAGCCATTTTTAAAGAAGAGGCTATCCCATTGATGGCTTTACACACACACACACACACACACGCACGCACGCACGCACGCACACACACACACACACACACGGTAAATTACAAACTAATGGACATCTCTCTGTGGTATAGGGATACAGAAGTTCAGTGGAAACACAAGAGCTTGTAACTAGCTGGAAAAACCCAAGACTAAATCCACACGTTGCATATTTACAATGGAAATGAGATTTTTCAGAATTTTAGTCTGGATCCTTTTTCTGCAGACAGTTGTGATGAAATTAAAGAAATTATTTTTTTCCTCTTATGATTTTACAACATGTACCACAAGGACGATTAAAAGCAATACTTTAAACCAAACAGTATTTTTTTCTGTGTTAGTAATGATTTTTATTTGCTTTCATGATATGAATGTATTTATTGCATGTCAAAAATGTTTTATAGCACATTTTTTGTAAATTTTTCATTTAAAAATCATTCAATGATGTATTGATAAAGTTGTGTGGATAAGGCTTTTATTTTTTAAAAGCCAATGTGAAAATGTCATTTTTTTCTTTGCTACTATAATCGAAATCAACTTGGCAATAAAACAAATTGCATAAAGGAATCAAAACGATAATGTTTCATTTTTTCTTTGCTTTGCACACCAATAAAATCAATCATTCATAGGAATGGACGTATGCCTTTACCCTTACTGCCTTGGTCTTAATCAGTCTTGATTTACAAGGATTTAAATTTTTTAGTAGTAGTAGACCGCTGCTGCCTCTTGTGCTTTTGGCTTGTTCATTGTGCATGAAATGGGTTTTCATTAAGAGAGAAAAACATGGGACAAAACAAGCTCGATAAATACAGTTCAACCATGATGATGACCACAAGAATGAGTGGTTCTTGCTCCCTGCAGCACACTCCCGATCCCAGTCCATAATCCCCCATACGGAGACCCGTGAGTGCCTCATTTAGGGCAAAGAATTTCAAATGAATTCCATACATCACACAAGGTTCACATGCAACACTGTGCAGATCTATTACTCTGTCAACAGGAGCGAAACCAGCCAGGCATACACACACACACACACACACACACACACACACACACACACACACACACACACACACACACACACACACACACACACACACACTTTTTCAATGCGTAAAATTCTTATTATCACCAGCACATAGGAAATCATAGTGCCTTCCAGATGTTTGATATGAATCAAGCAACTAGCCACAAACCACATCTGGATGTTAAACAAATTAGCATTTCTCCTCTCAGGTGCTGTAAATCATCAACATTCATGAACTGGAGGTGTTTCCTGGAGAGATCAAATTCGCCTTGTTGGAAATCGGCTGCTCTACTCCGTTTCACCAGTAGGTGAAAACAAAATGAGCAGTTTGACATCCGCCACGTGTCTCATTCAATTCTGTTTCCCGATCCTCAGAGTGCAGCCACCATTTTTTCCTCTTATTTACTTAATTCCTACAGAAACTTAAAGAAAGAAAGAAAGAAAGAAAGAAAACAATCTTTTATTTAGCGCCTTTCAAGATAAAAATCATGAGGCACTTTACAAAAACTAAAAAATGAAAGTGTAAAAAGATTAAAAAAATGATTACAAATATGTTTAAAATGAGAAATAATTGTGATCAAAAATAGAAATATAAAGAACGGGAGAGAGAAAATGAACAGGAAAGAGGGAAATCAGAGGATCGCGGGAAAAGCGGAATAAGAGCAGAATAAGGAGAGGGTGGTGATGAAAGTCACACCAAGTCAGCCTGAACAGGTGAGTTTTCAGCTGCTTTTTAAAGGAGACCACTGAGTCCACTGATCTCAGGCTCAGGGGGAGAGAGTTCCAGGGTCTGGGGGCCACAGCAGCAAATGATCCGTCACCTTTGGTCTTTAGCCTATTAAAATGTTTCTCATTAGGCTCACAGAATAGATTCTGAAAAAACAGAGAGCTCATAGGTGAGAGAGGTTGTGAACACACCAAATGAAAGGTTGAGGTAAACCAGCCAATAGGAGGTCAAGAAAGAAACTACATCAAGTAAATACAGTTGTTGTATTAGATTGCAATTCCTGAAACTGGCGTTTGAGTGTTTATTTGTTAAAGGGGTCATACGAGTTTTTCACAAGATAAAGTTGTTCTACGCTTTCCAAAAACATGTTTATGAAGTTTGTTGCACTAAATACTTCTCATTTTAAATATCTTCAAAAGCTTTATTCCTCACATTTTCAGTACTTTCCAGAATGAGCCGTTTCACAGCCCTGTCACTTTAAGAAGACAAGCTGGCCACGCCCACTCACCCTCCATTCAGGCTGCTATAAGCTGAGTAGCTCCAACATCCAGAAGGGACTCGGAGTAGAGCCACTGCTCCTCCACCTTGGAGAGGTGAGGTGTTGTTCTATTTTATTTTATTTTTTGAACCCTAACCCTCATAATAATAACAACTACAATGATAATAATAATAATAATAATAATAATAATAATAATAATAATATTAATAATAATAATGTAACATTTTATTTTAAAGCCACCTTCAAGACACACAAGGACACTTACAACAATGGAAGGAAAATAGAACTAAATAAAAACAGCACAGAAATATGTAAAAAACACTAACCGCTCGTTTCTACCGGAGCAGTCAGCAGCACGTTACTGCAGCAGCACGTGTTGCTTGCGTGAGCTGCTGCTTGGCCCTTCCCACCAGAGACGTGTAGCAGCAGGGGAGCAGCTGTCACCGACAGACCACGAAGTCACATGAGTGACTTCGTTAGTAAACACAACAAGCAGGAGAAAACTGCAACAGGGCTCCAAAAGGTTTGTTTTATGTTATGTCCATTTTATAATCACCAATAAGGACCTGAAAAACAAAGGAGACCGCTAGCTAGGTGATGACTTCTCACGGGGTCGCACAGTTAGTAACTTTTTTTGAAAGTAAAGCAACCGGAAGGCAGTACGTTTCTTTATTCTGAAAATCTCGGAAAGCCTCGCTCCGTTTCCGCGTCCGATTTCCTGTCTTTCCTTCCCCAAAAATGTCGCAACTTGACCCGTTTCAGAGGCGTAGCGCGTCGAAAATAGAACCGGCGCGTAAAGCTTGGTTTATGCTTGACGCGTCAGCAAGGTTCGCACAGCTCTGCGCAGCAAAATTGAGTCATTTTAACAACCACGTCCCTCCTCCGCGCCTCCGCACGGCCCAAACTTTCTGCACCACGCACCTAGGAAATTTTCTAACCACGCGGACGGTCGGACACGGAAAAACATAGCAGACTGGCAAGAACTAGTATGGCAGAGGTTCGTAAATACAGACATTTGTATGATTCAGCTCTCAGAGATCACCGGGATCAACATGTTGTTGATAATTCTTGGAGAGAAAAAGCTCGCACTGTCGGAAAAGACGAGGACGCTGTTAAAAAATGCTGGAATGCCATGTTGTAAACAACAGTAATTTCTACTTCTACTATGGTGTAGTGTTGGATGCATGCCGTAGAGCTCCATGCTGCCCCCTACAGTTTGGGAGAATATTGCCTCACCGCAGAGACAAGCCGCGTGAACCATAAACCATAAAAGAACCATAAACGCTGCGAGTTGTGAAGCGCGTTCCAGCCGCGAGCCGCATCACCAAGTGGAAAGTGAATGCGTCAAGAATAAACCAAGCTTAAGGGCCGCGACATGCTGATCCTGAGACGCGGCCGACTCGCGCTGCTGACAGCTCCGGTGGAAAAGGTTCTGTTGACCACAGCGGTTCCTATCAGCAGCTATGACGTGCTGCTGCAGTAACGTGCTGCTGACGGCTCCGGTGGAAAGGAGGGGTCAGATGTTAAAATCTTAAAGACAACTAAATTGATACTAGGTGATAAAACCACCTAAATCTTAAAACCAAACACTGACAGAAAATGGACATTTTTTCAGGTTTTCATGTTGAGACCCACATGGCAACACAATAGAATACAAAAGGTGAGTTTTGCATGGTATGTTTAATTTTAGTTTTTTTTTTTTAAATTTTATCTGACTGATCGCATGAATATAAAAGAAAACATGGCGCTCACACTACAAGTATTTGCTCAGCTAAACCAAGAGATGTGTGCTGATAAGTCGTGTCATAGAAGGAGTAAACTGGTTTAGTTTTGCTGAATGATCTTGTTTTACTAATTCAAAGGAATGGAGGAGTAACTGATCTAAATCTGGTCTAAAACATTGGTGATGATCTTCACAAAGAACAACGTGTTCACAGTGATTTTCCAGTTTGGAAGCTGTAACCTTAGTGCCCACCGCTCACACTGAGGAAGCTGGAAGCATCTGGCACCAAGCCCAACTTCATCCTCCACCCTGCTCCTGCCTCTGCCACTCGAAGGCAGCGCATATTAAATGTCAAAGGTCTGTGGTGTCTTATTTCTCACAGTGGGACACGGCGGACGAGTGCCAGGTTTTAGCAATCTCACCATTCCCTTGAGCCCCCAATTGCCCTCTCTGCCATTTCTATGAAATGTCTACATGTTCTGCAAAAGCTTGTGCATTAACCTCAAGTACCCATTCAAGTCAAAGTAAAATGTTAACAGGTAGGCCTGAAAATACAAATAGTTATCAGTGTATAACAGTGCATTCTGTTTTGCTGGGAGATTTTTTCCAAACTTCAAAGAATCACTAAATAGTTTTACAAATTTTAAGCTAGAGCTTCAACACTGATCCCAGTGATTGTTGAGTTAGAAACATTCTGCAGCCCTCCACTAGCCAGATACTGCACTCAATAATTTTGTGGAGGGTATAGGTGCTGTATAGGTGGAGCTCTTTACCTGATTAACAACGTTTGGCTGATATGCTAGCAGTTAGCGTTTCCAGTTTGCCGATTGTCAGGAAAGATAAAAAAAAAGTTTGCAATTTCTTTTATTTATTGTGGCAAAGAGCTAAAACCAGAGTGAACACTGGCTCTGCCTACACTAGTTTGAGGAAGTAAAAGGTGACTACAAAAGCACGGACTGACAGTGAACTGGCTTTGTTGTTACTGAACTTGTAAGTAATATATTTTGTCCAACAGTGTGGAACATTTTACTTCGTGGTTTATTTTAGTATTGGTTGGCTCATGTTAGTGTTAGCTTGTTGTTAGCACTAGCTACAGCAGGTGGCAGCGGGGTTGTTTACAACAGTTGTAATTCCACTTTCAACCAGTAGGACTGAGGAGCAAGACACTGTCTATTGTTACTTAACAAGAATATTTCAGTAAAATCACAAAGATTAATGAGACAATGTTTAGTTTTTACCGTTAATTTCTGGAAATATCCATCGAAATGGTGTTGAAAATGAATAAAATTACGTCCGGTTGTTGAAAAAATATTTGCGGTATTGTAACATATTACCATAAAAATTGGGTGTTAAGTACATAGGGAGCAGGTCTGGCATCTTTGGGGGGACTTCATCTTAGACGCCATGTTTCCTTCTGGCCAGCTCGGGGTTCTGCAACTGTTCATGACATCACACTAGATGATTGGTTGGAAGTATGACTTACGGAATTTACGTTACCACATTCAAAAACGTTTAGGCAACTGGAATTTAATAACAAAACTGCTAAACTCTTTCCAAAACCCATTTGAAAGAACAGAATCGAAAAAGAGCA